ACCAACGCAGACATCGCAATACCGCATCGCATTCGGCGCTGCACACAAACTCGGCCCCAGGTTGGTGACCCATGGGTCGTTCTAGGACTGGGCCTGTTGGTTGTCCATCAGAAGACAATGGTTTCGGTTCCCCTCCAGGAAGGACCTTTCCCGCTGCTCCTCCGACGCAGGCAAGTAGGAGTGTGCCAGGATCCCCGCCGCCGCCATTAGCAGCGGCAGCGGTGGTGGTGGCGGCGGCGGCGGATCGCGACGGGCCTGTGCCTGCTGCGGCACTCGCCGCTGCGTAGGGGTCATTGGCTAGGAGCCACGGCGCGGGTGTGCCAGGCAGTAGCAGCTGCTGCTGTCGGTCCTGTACGGACGCTAGCTCGTCCAGGCCGAGCTGATGCCGCCCACGGTCCATGCCCCCCAGGTACGCCGTCAAGCAGCTCACGTGGCAGAGGCGGCCGCAGCAGATACAACGCACGGCACAGTTATACGATATGGTGTTACAATGCTCCATTTCGTCCGTGGCATCGGCCACGGACGCAGTGGCCATGGGGATAGCACCCGCGCTTGCGGTGGGCGCGACTAGCTCCTTGGACTCCGCCGCCGCCGCCGCCACTACACGGGCAGCGACGACCGCCGCACCGGGCGCAGTCGGCGGCGTCGGCGGCGACGGCAACGATTGCAGCAGCGCCAGCGCGGAGAGCACCTCCGCAGTCGGTGCATTGATCTGCAGCTGCTGCTGCGGCGGCGGCGGCGGCGGCGGCTGTCGTGCTGGCGGTAACTGCGGATGCCTGCTAGCGGCAGCGTCTGGTACTGCCACATCTGCTGCCGCAATTGGTACTGCCACGGCATCCACACTACTAGCGGCCGCCTGTGCGCACTCTACGGCGGCGCCGCCGCCAGCTCCGGATCGAGGAACGTAGCGTCAGGCCGCAGGGACGCCGCGGCGCACGCCACGTCCCCCAGAGACCATACACGCCGACTGCAATCGCCTGTCGCGGGTGCCGGCTCCAGCGTGTGCGTGTGTATGTGCATCTCCCCCGGCGCACCGTCCCCATCATCTCCCCCCTCAGGCAGCAACGACTCAGGCAGCAACAACTGCGCCACCGGCGGCAGCTCTGACGGCTGCGACGATGAGGCAGGAGGCCCGAATGGCGCCTGAGCTGCCGCCGCCACCGCTGTTGCGGCGGCGGCATCCGGCCGTAGCTCAAGGTTGCGCTGGGGAGGTGCAGACGTCGGCTCTTGTTGCGCCGCCGCCGCTGCACCCGCCGTAACGGCGGCAGCACCAGCCTCCCGATCCTCTGGCCTGACGTCGACGTCGACGGCGGGGCTACTACCGCGCTTGACAGCGGCAGCGCCTAACGGGGCACCATCAGCCTGGTGGAGAAGGAACGACCCGGGACACAAGAGCAGCGCCACACAGGCCGCGTCACAACCCCCCAAATAGACCATTATCAGCCGTTCCATAGGTGAAAAAATCAACGCAAGTTAACCAGCTCGCAGCTCGCAGAGCAAAGGCGTTTCGTAACGCCCTCTGGAATGGATGCCCCGGGGAGCAGCGCCTTAAGAAAGGTCAACGATAAAACGGCGACAAAACCCTAAGGTCAAGATAAAAAAAGCAATAATTAATTACACAAGACAAATGATGGATGTGATGTCACAAGGACCGGCCCTGCAGGTGGTGGTGGGGCTTACCTGAAGATCGCCGCCGTCGGGCACTGAGGGGCCACCGCCGCTGCCGTCACCTTTAACCCCACTGCCGCCGCCGTCACGGACGCCGTCGCCGTCGCCGCCACCGCCACCGACGCCGCCGTCGCCGCCGCCGTCACGGACGCCGTCGCCGTCACCACCCAACATCCACGACAGGTCCTCATTCAGAAACTGCGTCTTCGTATAGATGTCGTAGATGGGCCTGCGCATGGCGCGTATGTCTGTATGTACATTATTTGTTACTCACCCAGAAGGACCTGAGTGCAGAAAGGACTAAAAGCTTTGCGAAATACGCAATGCGTCGCAGTGCAGCGCATGGGTGCAGCATACCAGTCGCGAGGACGACCGCAGGTGAGCATTTCTCTATGCTGCTGGCATATATGTGTGTGTGTGTTTGTGTGTGTGTGTGTGTGTTTGTGCATGTGTGTGCATGCGTGTGCGCGTGTGTGTTCTTTACACCTCCTAGCGTTGCGTTATACCCTCCAAAGGTGTAACCTGGGGGGGGTATGGGGGTGGCCCGTACATACGTACATACCTGGAGCCATGAGGGAGGTGAGGTGATGGGGAGGGGGCCACAACCTAGGGCCCTGAGGGGGCCGAGGAGGCTGTGCGAGGAAGATAGATATTGTGAACACGCATATATGTTTATGTGTGTATATATACATATGCACATATACACGCACCGGCTACACCATCCCCATATAAGGAACAAAGCAGCCCGCCAGCCCAGCCGCCCCAACACCCCATCCAAGCGCAGCGCGGCCAGGCGAGACTCACCGCTTTGCTCCAGATGTACCGCTGTTGCCATGATGCGCCGCGCGACCCGAAGGCAACCCCCCACGGTGACCGCGGCCCTGCGCCGCCGCTGCCGCCGTCGTCGCTCCCGCCGCCGCCGCCGCCTGCGCTCTCCGCTGCCGCATCAACTCCAGCCGCTCGACAGCACTTAAACGCGGCCTGGCGGGTTTTGGCGCTGTAGCTGCGGCGTCCGGTGGGGCCGCCGCCGCCGCCGCTGCCGCAGCTGCTGCTTCTGCTTGCAGCGCAGAATCCCGCTCTGCTGCTGGCGGCATGGACTCTCGTACACACGTCGCGGGGGCCTGTGCCAATCCAAGCCTAGGCTCCGGAGCGGCTGCGGCTGCTGCTGCTGCGGGTTGTGGCGGTGGCGGTGGTCCTGGTCCGGATGCTGGCGGAGCTGCCGGCAGGCCATCCGATGCGGATGGGGGATCCAAGGCTATAAGCCCCACCTCGAATTCGTGCTGGTGCTGTTGTAGTAGCTGGTGCTGGTGCTGGTGGTACTTTTCCGGGTCAGGCGCCAATGGCTGCCGCTGCTGTAGTAGTGGTGACGGCTGCAGTGGCAACGGCTGCGGCGGCAGCAGTAGTGGATGTTCTTGTTGCAATGGCGGCAGTAGCTGCTCCTCCTGCGAAAACGGCAGTAGGTGTCCCTGATCGGACTGCTGCAACTGAAAAGGCATCTGCTGCTGCTGTAGCTGCTGCAGTAGCTCCAACGCGGGCATATGGGGGTCAATCGACAGCGGCTGTAGCACCCCTGGAGCTGCGGTAC